AAAAGAGCTCAGCACTGGAAAGCAAGAAAGATTTGAAAATAAATGCATGAATTAATCAGCAGGGCTGATTAAGATGTTTAGAAACAGACAAAAGTTTGTCAAGTTTTTGGAATTTTCATGCTTCAAAAAATTTTTTGGGTAACACAAGAAAAATTTGCAACAGCTGGCTTTCTCTGGAGCTATCCACTCCGTTTGATGCAAAAACACCGAGTGTGTGATGATCCCATATATGCATTAATGAATATTTATAATTCAAAGAAATTTCAATTAAATCACGCGTACTTTTAGAATTACTTTGAGTAAATTGAGAATTTTCAGCGGCACTCAGCGAAATTCATGCAGAAATTGCTTCACAGTATAATCATTAATATGTCATTAATCATAAAGGGTGTTGAGCGCATATTTTCGCATACAGATGGGTTCATTGAAAGGTAGTCATGCACAGATTATAACTTTTTATAAAACTTTAGCAATGGTCTCATGGGTTGAAATATAATTGAAGATCAACCAAGATAATTATGCAATAACACTATCATTAAAAGCAGGCGCAGTTTCATGTAGAAATGTTGCTCAAGCGCAAAATTAAACATGGGCAAGCCATAGTGACACTTTTCAAAAAATAATTACAGCAGAAAATTATGACCAATACGTCAGACTTCAACCCGTTTGTCATTGAACCGAAATTACATCAAAAGAAAAACGTATGATTCATCGAATTTCATCTCTAATTCCAAGATAAGGAGATATCAGAGAACTAACCATGATATTAATTAACTTTCAAAGTCATCCCTTAGAAATTTCCTGGTTTGCGCCTCAGCAAGAAATTCTTGGGGCTTGAAATACGATTAAAAATCGATAAATGGGGGATTTCAGACTGATTTATCGGCCTCTTATCGTCCCATTTAAGAGAAAATAGATGCGTAGTTGAAACATCCGATAGAGTAAATTTTAAAAAAGTAAGAATTTCATTTTCCTCAGGCGGAGGAGGTCAAGTATTTGCCAAGCCATTCCAGGACGTGCAAATCAGACAGACCATCAGTCAGAACAACGTCAGAACAGCGGGTCAATCCGGACAAGGCACTGTCAACCAGATCTTGGAAATTGAATCGAGATTGAAAGCGCAAGAAAGTGTGATTGCAAAGGGATCGCCAGCATCTTTTCATCAGCAATTCTTCAAAGTCAGTCCTGACGCACTGACCCTCGCCAGAGGCGCTTTAGTAGGGNAAATTGAATCGAGATTGAAAGCGCAAGAAAGTGTGATTGCAAAGGGATCGCCAGCATCTTTTCATCAGCAATTCTTCAAAGTCAGTCCTGACGCACTGACCCTCGCCAGAGGCGCTTTAGTAGGGATAGAAGCCAGCAGAAATCTCGTCAGAGAGTGAGTTTTTCTCTATATTATTTCGCACCTGTTATATACAGTGTCCCAATATAAATAAAATTTAAAATTACAATTGAAATTTCTCCATGATTCGTAAAAAATTTGTGGGAATGATGCGATAGGTATGGCTTGAGTGCACTGGAAGCTGGCTATGGTCTGCAAAAGTTCAACCTTGGAGGCGCCAATCTGGCTAATGTTTGTCCACCGCTGCCAAATTGCCAAAGAGTCAATCAGCAAAGGTACAGGACCATAGATGGGAGCTGCAACAATTTGCGGAATCCTTCTTGGGGAATGACCAACACTGCAATGCAACGCATCCTCCCCCCAACATACAACGATGGTAAATCATATACTGTACCAGTTTTTTTTTTATAATTTTAGGCGCATACAGCAGTTCTGACAGAATTTAGCAGCAGATAGGTAAAAACAAACATTAACCCTTGTGTGGCGCAGTTGGGATATTTTAGAATAATTTTGGCCACATGAGGGCTGCAAACTAAAAAATAAAAAATTTTAACCAAGGCCTATAAGTCAGGAAAAAGCACAATATTTTTTTTAATAATCCTGCAGACAATTTTGGCTAAAAAAAATCCTCTCTGTGTGGAATTTTTCAGGCATTCCTAGCATAGGATTAACATTGGAGATTTCTTGAGACAGTGGGTTTTTCTAAACCTGGATTTTTATTTTTATTTTGCATTCCTACCATATCATTGAATAATTTTGAAAAATGATAGCTTTTCTCAAGCTTGGATAATAATACTACATTTCAAAGTAATCTCATATACACAGACAAGGTTGAGACCTTCTTGAATTTCTGCATATTTCTCTTCAATTAAAAAGATGACCTTTATACAGAAATTGAGAATTCTGGGAAACAAAAAGAGATGCTTAACCCTTCTGTGGTAGAGCAAGAGTATTTTTGGAAAATTAAGCACACAAAAGGGAAATCATTGGGGTGGAAAAACTCTAGCCTGATCAACTTATCCAAAGTACAGCAGCAGGAAAAGATAACTTTTTCTTCTGCTTATAATGAAGAAAACTTTTTGCTGATGGGCTGTATTTTGGCAATCTTTGATCAATTATACCAGAACCTTGACTTTTTGGCAGCTGGATGCAAATGAACCTGCCACCGAGAAAGTGTCAAAAACCTGCATTGAATTTCCTCAATAATTTAGCAATTATTCAGACACCTCAATTAATGAGATCACAGCAGCACAATTCCCTCGACACGTTCGACTCAATCAGCTTAATGAATTGTAAAAAATCAAATTTCAAAGGTGTTTGGGAGCCCAGGCAATTTTCCAGGGTGACAGGTCAGCCCTTGCCTTCAGCGAGAGCAATCAGCACGGCTGCCATCCACGACACAGACAGTCCTGATGATTTCCTCACCCTGCTGGTCATGCAATGGGGTCAATTCTTGGATCACGATATGACACATGCTGGGGTTTTCAAACTCGGTGAGAACCATACGATGGGAATAATTTTGGGCGTTTCGTTTAATTTAAAAATTTTCGTCTTCCAGATGCGCAGCAGAACACAGGAATCCTGTGCTGCAGGAATAATAATCCCATCAATCCTGCTCCACATCCGGCTTGTATGCCCATTGACATACCTCAAAATGATAGATTTTACTCAAGATTTGGCAACAGGTGCATGGAGTTTGTCAGGTCAATCCCTGCTCCAAGACCTGGTTGCACACTCGGATACGCTGATCAGGTACAGCATTGCCATGCATTATAATTATTGTTATAAATGTAATACATTCAGTATTTATGAATGCAAATTGTTTTTACAGCTGGTATAATCTTGGATAATTTGAGTAGTTTCTTTCCTGAACGTATAGTTAAAAAAAAATACTGAAAAATAGTTTCTCGTCTGGAGCAGTTTTGAAAAATTGCTGGCGAATATCAATAAGATCTTTTCGCACAAGGATTCTTCAAATAATCATTTTAAATAATGTTGTACCATATAATTTAATAACCAAATGAAAATGAAACAATGTTACACAACATGCATGCAATACTTTCCTATTAAAATTTTTCCAGTTTTGGCGAGGCTTTTTGCGAATTCTCATCGTAAAAATAACAATAACGCATTTATTCTTCAACAGCAGTTTCATCCGAAATATGATCGAATATCAGCATGAATTGAATTCTCCATTCGAAAAAAAATTGGAAATAAATAAATCAGCAATTCTATTCTTCTAAATGTGAATTTAACGGGACTTTCTCGCAATTTTGAGTTCCTATAAGAACCGAGCCATTCGATTACCTAAATATACTTATTTTTTTACGGATTAAAAATTATTTAATGTGTCCCATCACAAATTACTGTATTTGAAGACGCGGCTATAAAAACAGTAAATACCGCATTTATTGGGCGGTGCATTCAGCTTTTCAAGATAAATACAGCATTTACGCGAGTACCTCATGCACTTTTTTTTCTTTAAATTGAGGCAAAAAAAAAAGTAGGGTACTCGCAATACCACGAAATACACTTTTAGAGGAAAAATTAGGGAAAATAGTGCACCTCACGTGCGAGTAGAGTACTTCCATTTTTTAAAAAGGGATGGGGATAAAATGCATTGTGCCGAATTTCCTTTTCCATAAAAAATGACAGCCGAAGATACAAACATTTCAGTCGGAAACTCAAGTGGAAGGATAGAAAAAAAAATGTACATATAATTGAGGACACGTTCATGAAATGCAATCTCAATTAAACTGCTGCTGTGCTGGGCCAAAAAAAATCAACAGGGAAGACATAGCACTCACAACTAATTCAAAATTTCAAAAACGGATCCAAACACAAAAGCCTCAAGATTCCACAATTTTGTTTCTCATTTTTAGCGACAACAACAAAAAACGTGTGCGAGGATTTTAAGCATCAGGGATGATGAGTATTTGTACAAATTTCTCGCACACAAAAAAGTATGATCTGTAGTGAAAATTTTCACTTCGGGGCTAGCACGTTGTAATTGAGTAAAAAGGGTATATTCAGTTTGATAAAAAATCGTTGGAATTTTCGTGTGTGTGTGTGTGTTCGAATAAAGATGAACCTCATCACTCACTTCGTGGACGCCTCCAACGTGTATGGGTCAACTGACCGCGAAGTCAGAGAGCTCAGACTCTTCAGAAATGGTCAACTGAAGGTCACTCAGACCAGGTCACCGAGACCACTGCTGCCCCTGAGTGACAGCGAGGGCGATGACTGCACGGAACTCAACAGAAACATTCGTTGCTACAAAGCAGGTCAGTAGAAACAAAAAATTGTGAAGGCGTCGAGCGTGAAATTAACTTCGAAATAACGTCGGGAAACGGGATTTTAACAGGCACACGAAATAAGCCTGCCTATATATACCAGGGGTCTAACAAAAGTTCTCGGAATCTAAATTAAAAAAGCATATACACGTACAGGCCCTCGAATAAAGTATTTTCATCAGAAGGTATTTTCCAATATAAATTAAGGAAACTTTTTTTTTAACATTTCATGTAATCCCTCTTTTTCGGAAAACGGGGATTTTTTTTTCAACCCCAATTTCTTTTGACCAGAATATTATCGAGCAAAAAAAAAAGCTTTTAGCGGGATATAACAAAAAATGGTCATAATTAACAGAGAATATGAAGTTTCGCACTCCAGTGAATAATTACTAACCGATTTATTTCTCGTTGAACAAATTTGTGATTTTTGTTTACGTAATACTGTATTTTATCACCAAGGCTGAGATTAATTGTCAATGATTCACAATAAATCAGAAAGAAGAAACATTGGGAGCAAAAATCTGGCTACTGTGACGGAAAAATGATGAATCTTGAAATAAATTAATTTCAATATATTTTTCTAACATATTGCTGTATCAATGCGGGTGTCTGCCATCGGTTACTTTGAAACAGGATGAAATTATTGTCATATTGAATATTTCACCCTCAATCAAGAGACCCGCCAAGTTTTTTCAGTCGAAAATTTGGAAAAAATGCTATCCCTGAGTCAGACATCCACCTCATTTTTGTGACTGAAACAATAAAATATTTTTAAAATAAAACGCATCGGGATTTGAATTTCGATTTGAATTGAGGTTGAATTCAATTAATTTTAACTTGTTTCCATATTCAAATTTTTAAATGTTTTTTTGCAAAAGGGTTCACAATTTTTAATTAGAATCAAGTATGCCGCGTATCAAAACTTCTTGAATTATAAAAATAATTTACCCGCGGATTATGCAGCACACCTTCAATTTTTAAACCTCAATCTTGTGGTGCTTGAGTGAATACTATCATGTGTTTGACTGAATTATTTATTTAGGAATTCCTCGTGAATATTTCTCAAACAGGTGACGACAGGGTGAATGAGCAAGTTGGTCTGACTCTGATCCACTTGGTGTTTATGAGAGAGCACAACCGGTTGGCGGCAGAGCTGCAAACACTGAACCCGTCCTGGTCCGACGAACAACTGTTCCAAGAAGCAAGGAAAATCGTGGGAGCAGAAATGCAGCACATAACATACAACGAATGGCTTCCATTGATCCTCGGTAATCGATACATGACCAATTTCCACTTGTATCCAGAACGGTTCGGCTATTCGCAAGACTACGACCCGAGCATTGATCCATCCATCAACAACGAATTCGCCACTGCTGCTTTCCGTTTCGGACACACTCTGGTCCAACGGTCTTTCCAGTTCAGTTTTGCTCCTTTTTATCATTGCAAAATATAATAATCATATTGATGATAATGATAAATGTCACCTAAAACTTGGGCGTTTGCTGGATCAAAAACTCCCGACATAAAAGACGATCCGATCAAAAACTTCATGATTTTATCACATGCAACCCTCATGACCACATTGTAATCAACGCCACAGCAAAAATACGGGCGACATCTATGCATCGTTACAGAAAGTCGCAGAACTTACGAAGGGAATTCAGCGAACTATGCTTTTGCAGAAATTTTAAATTGAAAAGTTACTTCGATTCACTGCGAAATTCCAAGACTCTGTGAGAAGTCCTAAATAGCGCTGGCGAAATTAGTTTTGTGAGTTTAACTAACTTTTAAAGGTTTTCAAAATGATTTTACACACCTACACCTAAAACTATACGCGAAGTACCCAAACCAAAAAAGGGTTTTGGTGCACACATTTTTACATCGTGCACGAACTTTTTAGTGCTGTTCCAAATTTTGTACTTGAAACAATAAATAAAAATTAAACTTGACTCACTCCACAAAAGAAAACACTTTTAGCACGACGATAGATAATTGCTGCTCTTCATAAGAAAAAAAATAGTGTTTTTGATAAGTTTCATCTGCTGGAATTCTCTGAAAACGGGGGTTTTTTTTTTTTTTTTGCTCTGGCTCGTCTGCTATTTTTAAATAGATGGCACTTGGAGATAGCTTAAATTTCTTCTGGCTTTTTTCTTGAAGGGTTTTCGAGGCTCGTTCGGGTTCTCCTGAACAAGTGCTGGAGCTGAGAAACGTTTTCAACAACCCAAGTTTCCTCAACGCTCCAGGAGCTGCTGATGGACTCGTGCGAGGCATGACTTTGCAGCCCATGCAGACCTTTGACAACAGCATCACGGAAGAGGTTTCCTTTGCATTTCTTCTCCTTTTTCCCCCTTTATAATTGTATATGCTGTATTTACTTGAGTATGAATCATGTAGAAGCACATTCTTTCAAAATTGAAGAGGAACAAAATTAAAAAGAAATTTATATAGGCAGGTTTAAAATTTTTCAAAATTTTGATACATGATTCCAATGTAACACCTTGAGCAAATTTTAGCACCCAAAAAAATTTCAAAAGGGATAAAACAATAAGCGTCATTCCAATTTGTGTTGAATTCAAGTCAAATGCGCTTCACTTTCAAAGTATATTCCCATTCTCAAGTTACTAAAAATTGGGGGCGTGTCTTATTCCAGGATAGATTTTCATCGAAATTCAAGGCTAAATAATTCAGGTGAAAATTTTACTCGAGGCTATGTGGTACAGTACTTGAATAAATACGGTATTCATTGCAACAAAAAATTTTAAAATTCTAAAGGTAGAAATCCCATTGACAGAGAGGAATTTTACAAATATTTGTTCCATAAAATGTTGTCAAGGTACATCAAAACAAATAGCACTTACTACTTCTATAAAATCAAACATTATAGTTCTATAAAAAAAATCCCGTTGATTTTACAGAATTTTCTATTACGGGGAAATTCACGGTATAACTTCTGTTTATGTTGACCTATGTGACACATGAATTCTTCACTCTGTGGAAATTTTTATTTTATTTAATAACTTTTTGGATAAAAGACATTCTGATTTAAAGGAGTTAACCCACGTTTTTCGAGATTAAAAAAATGGGGTGTAAATATTACTCAGAAATTGGTTTTTAACCGAATTTTGGGGTGCGAAAATTAGGGCTTCGTCTTGCTTGCGTGAGGACGCATATTTCTTGAAAACTTGAAAAAAATATGGCACTCAATACTCAAGTCATTCCTCATTCGCGAAAGCCACAATGACGACACCATTCTTATTTCCTATACTGTATCCAACAGTTGACAAACCAGTTGTTCAAGAAGAACAATCCCTTCGGAATGGATTTGATATCGCTGAATATCCATAGAGGAAGGGACCACGGTTTGCCAACATACAATGACATGCGGGAATTGTGTGGAATCGGAAGAGCCAACAACTTCAACGACCTCAGTTTCGATATGCCGGAAAACGTGAGCGAAATTTTAATGAAATACACTACTTGAATCGGAAAGAGACTTTCGACGAATTTAAAGCTATAGACTTTTTTGAAATGTTACGCATATACGCCGTGACGAAAGGGAATAATTCGTTCGGGGTCCGACTGCGTGACTTGGGTCGGGTATGCACAGGTGACCCAATAACTGACTGGACTGACTGTACGGAAGTTATTTAGTGCTGCTGTTTTCTGATTGTGACCTGGATTCAAAATTGAGTTGCTGAAATTATTGATGATGCAGTTCACCCTGTTGAGATGTTTCTTATACAGTACCTTGATCAGTAGATATTATTATTCTTTAAGATATGTTTTTTTCATTTTAAATTATTATCGTGGGGTAATAATGTACATACCATATTGTGTTTGAGAAAACCCGGAAGAGGGAAATTGGCTAGATTTTCTGATATCTCTTAAATGCACACTTAGTTTGCGCTGAATTAATTTCTTCCGATTAAGTCGTACTAAGAGATCGATTTGTTTGCAGAACTTCGAAGTTCCAAAAATACTTCGCCCAATCTAAAATGATATACAGTAGTGGCTTATTAATATAAATAAGGACCCAACTTTTTGCATTTTTCATTCGGTCCACAATTTTTTTCGAAAATGGGCGATAGAAAACAGACGTGGAGATCTTCCCGATTTAAAAACAAAAAACAAAATTAAATACGCTATAAACTTATTTTTTTATTCTTGAATGGAAATTGTTTTTAATAGTCTTATGAGAGGTTTTTTGGATTACCCTTGTCTTTTGTTCAAGTGAGATAAAGATTGAAAAAATTTAGTAGATTAAAAAATTAATCTAAAAAACCATGTTTTGAAA